CCATGCGTCTTGCACTCCCATACCGGCAACGTGAGCCTGCCCACCACGCCGAGCGGCCCATAAAACACAGCTGCCTGGCTGCCCGTCTTGTGAAACTCACAGCAGCTGCCATTTTCTGCTGCTAAGTGGCAAGGAAGCGGCTCCATGCTGGCCAGCTGGGCTTGCCGCTGCTGGAGCTGCTGCTGGCGCTCCTGCCGCTGCTGCGCCGCCCGGCCCGGCAGAGAGGCCAAGAAGGCATCCACGTCCGCTCCGAGCCGAGCCTCCCAGTGATCACGTTTGCGTCCTTGCCGGTCGCCCCAGCCTAAGAAGCCGCTGGGTGCTCGCTCATCCTCGTTGTCATCCCTCTCACCCCGCCGCCTGGCCTGCCCTGGCACATTGAAGGGAGCTTGTTGTCCTGGTCTACTTGCACGGGATCTTTTTGGCTGTGGCCCGTCTAGAGGCCTGGGGGCCGTGGTCTTGCTAACCACCTTCACCCTAAAGTGCTGGCTCATGTCCTAGAAAGCATATTACGGTTGCTGGGATGCCAACAGAACAAACGGGAGGGAGAATGATGCATGATTGAGGATGATGTCCCCAATGACCCTCCAGGTGGGGGGCCATCATGCCCATCATGGGGCACATCCTTACCGGGAGGCCTACCTGAGCCTGTTGTGCACGGCGCATGTTCAGGTGGCGCCACCCGAAGGTTGGTTGGGGTTTGGAGACGCCTCTGTGGGAATGCCCGCAGCAGAAAGAGTCACACATTTCAATCATCGTGGCGAGCCAGCAGTGGGGTGGCCAAGTCGGCATTGTCTGCAAGGCAAAGAATGGCATGTGGGTCAGGCAGGGGCGCTGAGAGCGTCAAAACTTCACAATGCAAAATGCCTCCACCTGCGCTCGTCCGCCGTCGTAAGGTTCTTCGACTGCTGAGGCCTGAAGGCGTTGGTGGCCCGGAGGTGTCTGCAGGTGCATGCACTGGCGGCGGCGGCAACCGTGGCAGGGGCGGCGCTGCTGCCGCCGCCGCCGCCGCACACGCTGCCAGCTCCCGACGCTCTGCCTCCGCTGCAGAGCATGTGCATGGATGGTGACTGCAGGTACTCTCAACCAGTTGGGAAAGCACGTCAGGAGGGCTGCGCACCTCGAGCGGCACGGGTCTCGTCTAGTTCATGGCCAATCGCTTCGTATTGAGCACGCGCCTTGTCGATCCGCTGTTGCAGCCTCTTGGGTACCGCCCCGTCGGGGTACTGTTCAGCCCGGTCCTCCAAGTCTTGCAAAACCGAGAGGGCAGCGCCGGATCTGCAAAGTGCCCACTTGTGACGTACCCGCGCTGTTTCCAGGGCGCTCTGACCGCACCCCATTATGCAAAGTACCTAGACGAAGCGTCTTCTGCCGCTGAGACAGGGTGGCGGTACACCCAGTCGACGCGGTACAAGGCAGGTTGTGGCAGCGCGAGAGCGGTCTGCCCTTCTTCTTCTTCTTCTTCTACCCATAGCTCACCTGCACCGCACACCACCGGCCTCCTCCTACGGCAAGGTCTCCGTCCTGTTCCCAGAAGTTCGCATGCCTGCTTCAGAACAGAACACATTGAACATGTGTTCTGGGAATGAAATACTCGCAGCAGAGTCGCCCAGAGAGCCGCCGAACGGAAGGCAGAGGACACGGAGCGAAGCACTGCAGGGGGCAGCAGCAGTAGGAGGCGGCCCTGGCAGCGGCGGTGCAGGAGGCCCAGCGTGTGGCGGCGCGCGTGGCCCAGAGGCCCGCCGGGTTGGGTGAGTTGATGGGACCTGTCTGAACCGCCGTGGCTTGATTGTGCATTGGCGGCACGGCCCATAGAACCATAGGCAGGCCGCCAGTACGGGCGCTAATCGTGATGGAACTTGGTGGCTGCTACTGGGATGCATGCACCACTACTGAAACCAGCGCTTGCCCGCCACCTGCCCACCCGATCCGCAGCCGTCGACGAACGCAAGAAGAAGCAGTGACTTTGGCGGGTGGGCAGGCTGGTACAGCTAACGTTGCGAGTGGCCTGGCCCTGCCCACAGCTGTTCCTTCAGGTGGTGCGGCATCAAGGTGGACTCAAGAGGCATGATGTCGGCGTTTTGCCTCCTCTCCTAGCCAACATCCCGGACTGCCCAGAAGAACCAGATATTTTACAACCGAGTTGAGGATTTGGCGCACCGCTTGGAAGCTGCGCTAGCCGACCATGCGAAGCAGGCGGTGCTGTTGACTGAGGAGCAGCAGAAGAACCAGGTGCTGGAAGGCAAGCTGGAGCAGTGCCACACACAGGCCCTCCAACAACTGGTTGATTGGTGCGTGTTTCCACCGCCGCCGCCGCGGCCGCTCTGCAGGCCTAGCGTCTCAGCGCCCTCGCCTCGCCTGGCCCTGCCTTGGCCCTGCCTTTGCCTGGTCGCCTGGCTGGTGCCAATATCATTGACTGCATCCTCACATGCTCTTATCTTTGCAATTGTTTTCCGTACTGCTCGCCCTACACATGAAAAATCGCTGCGTGCAGCACCAGATGGCTGGTGACCACTGAGCAGAGAATCGCTTGCCTGTCCCGTTTGGTCCAGGGATCGCCATGCGGAGAGAAGTGGAAGGCGCAAATTGTTTCAGCCATCCACATCCTGCTGGCCGTTGGACAGCTTGCTACAATCACCGCCTTCCTCTTCTCCTCGCATGGAGATTTCTGGACCAAGTTGGACGGGCACGCCATTGTCTCCTCAGTGCTCACCACCCACCTGGCGCTGCAGGCAGCGATTGTCATGTACAGGGCGAGCAGTGGCTCTCGGCCCTAAACATCACTCTGACTGGTGCTGCTGTTTGTGGGGGATCAGAATGTGATGTGCTACATACTGTAAACAGGGACATGCCCGTCGATTAGCGGCGGATTACAGTAGGAGCTGGAAGGTTCACATGCATGAGGGATGGATTCCTCAAAATGGCAGCTGCGCTCGTGATGTCAGAAGCCCGACACACCGCACACTGGCACTGGTCGCTGCCTTTGTCAGCAGCGCTGCCCAAGGCAATTGGGAAGAGACGCACAGTCCAGTGCCTGCTCTACGTGACATGGATTCTCTGCCTGACTTTATGGCCACACACTCCATACTTATTCTGCTCCCACTTGTTCTGCTCTTGATTACTCAGGCAATTTTCTCACAACTGGTCCCCTTGTCTTGTAGCCTTCGTTTGTCAAATGCTTGCCCTTCGAGCAGAAGAACACATACTGTACAAAACCCGCAGTTCGTTGCACAAGGGTGCTGAGCTGCTGAGGCTGCCACCAGCTCCTCTCCGGGCCAAGCTGTGGCAAGTGGCCGGAACGAGCCTCGGCTCAGCCCTTCAGGCTGTACCCCTTGCCCCCAAAGGCTTTGAACTTTGGCTCCTCCTCCTCCACCTTCTTCTCTGCTGGAGGCTGCGGCGGGGGGGCCCTGGCCCCGCCCGCTCCTCCCGACGCCTTATCCGCTAGCTTGGCCTGCAGACGGTTGCCGCCAAACACCTTGCCGGGCCGCTTGGGCGCGGAGCCCGCTGCGCTGCTGCCGCCGTCGCCTGCGCCGCTGCCCACGCTGCCTGCCGCCGATGCTGGGCCACTGGCGCTGCCTCCAGGCCGCCCGGAGCCAGGCAGCGGGATGGCAATGGGCCGCGACTCGCTGACTGCCTTGCCATCCAGCCGCCTGCCGCTCCCGGCAAATGCCAGAAACTTTGGCTGCTCGGGCTCTGCCGCCTCGTCCGCCGCAGGTGCCGCACCCGCCGCAGCAGCAGGGCCCTCTGCTGCCATGGGCACCGGCTGCGGCGGCGGCTGCCGCGCCGGCTCCACATAATCCAGCGGCGGCGCAAAGTCGACCTGCAAGGGGCTGCCAGCCATGATCGAAAGAAAAGGGGGCACGAGCCGACACATCCAACGGCCAGGTAACCCTGCGGTTCTGTGCTGCATTCAAGCCTAGGCTGGCCCCCACAGCTCAGCGGGCCCACGGGCCCGCCATGCCGCACGTTGCAGTCGGTCTCGATGACGGAAATCGCGTCCGAGGGCTTGGCCTCGATGATGTCGATGAAGTAGCGGCGGTTGTTGTAGTTGATGGGGATTGTGTCGCCCACTACAATCGGGGAGTGAGCGGTGAACGAGATGCAATTAAGGCAGAGGCAAAGAAGGCAAAGAAGGAGGCAGCAAGCACTTTGCCACTGGAGATGCACAATGGAGAGAGGGGGGCACTACCAGACGGGGAGCGGAATGGATGGTGGTGGGTTGGAGGCAGCCAGGGCGGTTGGCAGCCAGGGCGGTTGGCAGCTGCCCCCGCGCAGCGCGCACCCGTGAGGCAGGAGAAGTTGCGCAGCGTGGTTTCCAGCACAGCACGCGGGTTGGTGATGTCCAGGAAGTCAGCCGAGTGTGGCTGCAGCTTGACAAACGTGCCCTTGGGCAGCGTGGCGGAGCGCAGCTGCACCACATCGCCCTCCTGCAGCAGCAGGTTCTGCATCATCTGCAGGGCGGCGGAAGGGGCGGGTCCGAAGAGAGAAGTCAAAGGGTGCGTCAGCCAGTCGCTGGGCAAGCGGCAGCCGCAGCCTTGCACCAGCGAGGGCAATGACAGGGTTGAGAAGCAGCAATCAAAACGAAAGCGATGGGTGCCGGCAGCAGCAGCAGCAGCCAAGTCGTCAGCCGAGGCAATCAGGGAATGAGAATTGACGCAAGCAGCAGCAAGGCGCCCACCCAGTACGGCATGTACACCATCCCTTCGTCCGCGATGAACTCCAGCACGCCGCAGTGTGTGTTGCGCCCGTCCCGCCGATTCTCCACTTGGAACAGCATGGGGTAGTCGATGTGCAGCTGGGCTGCAGATCGGGGCGGTGCATACCAAGCGGCGGGTGGGCGGGCGGGGTGGCGGAAGGGTCTGGCAGCGGTGCCGCCAGACAGCGAGCTGCAGCCAGCCACTGCTGCACACCTAGGCGGTCCAGGGCGGAGGGGGGCAGGAATATTTTGTCACCCCGCTCCGCCTCTGGCTTGTCTAAGAATGAGACGGGGTAGCAGCGGTAGCTGGCCTCAAAGCGACCGCCCCCGTAGCCTCCGTAGCCTCCAAACATCCCACCAAACATTGCTCAAACTGCCCCGGGCCCACTGATCGTCAGAAACAAGACAGGTCACAGACGGGCTGGGGACGACGGGAAACGGTCAGCCGTGCTGTAAGGTAAATTGGGAGGGCGACAGGAGAGGGATGTTGCGGTGCCGTCGCCTTTGTACTTCGTGCAGTACATGAAGGCTGCTGTATGCCTCGCGAAATCAGCGAATTGGCTTCAACGAAGTGCACGGTGATCAATCCCAGCAGCCCAGTGGATCGACTGCTGCCTTTGCCACCTCGTGCTCGGATCCTGCGGCACGATCAGCAGCATGGTGAGGAGACCCGGGGTGTATGCAGCCTCGATGACAGTAAGAACCGTGCTGGAGGCGCCGCCGCTCTCCACGAAGAGCACCCCTCCCTCTTCCCGCTTCTCTGGCACGCGTCCCCAGTGAATCAATTTGGTGTTTCTGATCTATAGAGATGCCAAACGAATGAACCAAGCTTTGGGCAGCCAGAGTTTGGAGGGCGGCAGCGGCAGGCTGCGCCAGTTCTCCGCCCTGGGCTGCCGCCCCCCCCACTCGGTGCTTGCTGCGCTTCATCCTGGCGCAGGCGGACAAGCACACGATTGTGCTGATGCAGCCTAGCCCCAACAAGTCGAGCCGGACATTCGTGGATTACAACAGCGTGGACAAGGCCATTGACGGTGCGCCCACAGAGGATGTCGATGCAGCTGGGCTCAGCAATTCGCAGCCGCGTGCGCCCAGCTGAGGTTCCAGCAAGTCATGTTCAGCTAGGTACAAGCCCCTACCGTGTCCCCCGCCTCCGCAGGCATCTGCAACGATTTTGAGCGGCGGTTGCGAGAGCTCAATCCGCAGTTGCGCAGCATCACGTACGACATTGGGGACTTGTATAGCTGGATCGACAACATGCCAGACCTGAGGTGAGCTGTATGCATAACAGCAAAACTGCCCTGTGGTCTAAGTAGGAGAATGGAGGCAGTGGCACATGCAGCAGCATAAGCAATAGGAGCCCAATCATTCATGTTTTTTCTCCTCTGCCCTGCTTTGCTCCGCCTGCTCGCAGCGCACTGGTGTTTGAGAAGCAGATCATGGCATACATCCCGTGTGGAAAAGAATGGATAAAATCTAAGGCATTCACGCACCTGCGGCGGCTGGCAGACCAGGCGGGACGGTGATGTAGTCACCTGTTTTTTACAATGTTGCTGGGGCAGCAATTTTGCTGCCAACTGTTACACCGGAACCGATGCCGTGCCTATGGCTTCTGCTTGCGGCTGATGCTTAACTCTCCTGTTTGCTGCCCCTTTTCGCCCGCTCATGGCTTGAATTTGCTTCTGACATGTTACACAATTTGTTACAACCGAACCAAATCGGGTTAGGAAGGTACACGGCCATGCATCGGGTTGGGTTCATGGGGCGGTGATTAAATATACATAGCCCAGAGGAGATGTGAAACAACGTGACTCAGCATCAGCATGCTGCTGGTAAGGGAAGATGAATCAAAGGGGCGGACACTGGCGAAATTACTGTCACACAATCAGGGTTTGATGAAAAGCTATTCATTAAGGGAGGTTGAGTTTGAGGGAGGTTGAGTTATAAACAGGCCACTCATTTTTTCGTGTTGACATCAGGGTTTGCGGTCGTGTTGAACGAGCGGGGCGCAGTCACCCTCACCTGCGGGCGCGGTTTCCGCCTCTTGCAGTTTGTTCTGTTGGTATGCATCCAGCCTGGCATCCATGATTGCAAAGTGCAGCGGGGGGCAAGCGGCCAAGAGCATGGCCCCAGGGTAGGACATGGGAAGCTGTGGGGCATCTGGCAGGTCGCGCAGCAGCTGCAGTTGGCAGGCGCACATGCACATGGAACGGGGTAAGCCCCACTACAGCAAGGTAGCGCACGTGACTGGTAAGACGTTGCATAGCTAGCTGCTGAAAGCAGCTGGGGAACATACCTGATACGGCGCTGCAGCGTGAAGGTGGTGATGGGCGTGCCGCTGCAGCCTGAAAGAGAAAGCGCTGGTCGCCATCCAGGACGCGTTCCAGGAGTGCTGCAGCCCCACCTTCTCGTATCTACAAGCAGGAGGCAGATAGCAACTCAGGTCCACAACAAGCTGCCTACCGACAACAGGTGCCATTGCACTCGTCACCTGCCATTCGGCAGCTTCTGGCGCTGCAAGCCGTAATGCTCGATGTAGTTCTGCAGCATTGGAGAACGTTGCTATATCGACATGTCAGGTTAAAATCTACTGGCATTCCAGGACGCATGCATGAGACTCACGACAGTCTCCAGCATGACGACGCTGCAGGGGAGGAAAGGCGCGGCATGGCGATTCAGTACCGGCATGGAACCCCCATTGGCCCAGCTGTTAAGATCATCCACAGCTCCTGCCGGCGCCCCACCTAACTGCCGCCTGCCCCACAGCAAAGGCCAGGCCCTTCCAGCCATATGCCAGGAACACGGCGGCCATCAGCGCCATGGGGCACAGAATCCAGGCCACCATCCTAAAGGGTAGGGGCAGGCAGGTGGGTGATGATGAAGGCGGGACATGTGCAGCGTCCTTCATCCACCAGCGCACCTGTTCTGCGGGCTCAGCAGCGAGATGCCCTTGCGCTTGAGCCGGCGCAGCTCTGCTCCGTAACCATCAACCAAATTGCCCCAGACACTGCGGCAGACAAAGGCATAGAGGTTCTCCCCCCGCCTTGCAGAGGCCGGGTCCTCGGGGGTGGCAACCTGCAGGCAGGGCCACGCATTGGCATGTCAATGTCTTGAAACCCACAAACAACCTTCCCTGTCTCCTTCACTCCCGCTCTCCTCGCATCCCTCCCTCCTTTCCTTCTTGTGGTGATCCAAATGGCTCTGCGTCCAATGCATGTACCCGACAGCCGCTAGCAGCAGATTTGCGCCCAGCTTGTCCTTCCAATGAGTGCCATGCAGAAGCTCATGGGCAGTGGTGAAGAGAATGCCGCCCGACACGCCTGCGCTGATCGTGGTGCCCAGGAAGGCCAGCGGGTGGATGGGCGTTGTACTGCGGAAAGGGGGGGAGGGGGGTCCACAGGTTGAGTCCAGCAGTGTCAGGAAGCTGTGCTTCCCAGTTTCTCAGTGGAAAGCACTTGTTGAGATCAGCCTGCTTAGACTGAAAGAGGATAGCGATGCCCGCAAACTCACCTGAGCAGGTGGCAGAGGCCGCAGAGAACTGTGAGATGGACCGCTGTGTATGCATACAACACAGCTTTGAACAAGGCATCCTGCGTGCCTGCCACCGCCTCCTCCTGCAGACCAGCCACAAGGAGCTGGCACATGTGGTGTTCCAGGCCGATGCACTCAGAGAAACGGCCATCAGGAGCTTGCCTCTGGATTCCGTAGGTCCCGCCCCAGCAGCGCATCGCCCAGCGGCATCACAATGAAGGCAAGGTAGGCGGTCAGCAGCGAGACGAGCACCGACAGCAACGTGGCGCCAGGCTGTGTAGAAGCCAGGTGATGCAGCAAGGGGCTGAGAGGACCCGCTGCCTGCAGGCAAGGGCAGGAGCACCGTGACTTTGAGAGCACGATGACTTTGAGACGTGGATGACCATCACAAGAGCCGTACCTTCACCAACGGCAGTGACGCGATAAACTGCACAGCAGCAGGCGCCCACACCGCGCCCAGCCCTGCCAGTGCCGAGGCCACCGGGTAGAGGAAGGCAGCCGAGTAGTAGAGCGGCTCGGGCAGCAGGCGCAGGACAAGCTCGCCCAGCCGCGTGTCTGATATCCTCTGCTGCGGAGGCATGGCTCCATAGCCTGCACAGCGGGCCGTGGCCGCCATTACACAATTATTTTATGTGTCGCTACCACCCCTGAAATACTGGCAGAGTCAGGTATTGGTTTAGAGTGAGTTTCAAACCCAACCGCCGCCGATTGCCGCGGCTGGGGGGGACAACCCAGCCCTCTTGTTGGCGCACCCCAAGCAGGAACAATACTTATTTCAAGCTCCAGATACAGAAGAACGCACCTTTGGGCGCGTGGGAGCGTGAAGAAGCAAACGAGGCCTGTGTGGTATGCGTCCGCCTGAGGGGCTTTCTGGTGGTTGCCGACACTCCATACCTGATCGCCGACTTCCGGGATGGGCGCACCAGGCCAGGAGGTCGCGCCGAACCACTCCAGCCGAGCCGGCCCACCACGCCGCTGCAAACAAGCGCCGACATGGTTGCCAGTAGGCTGCACTGCCGCCACCACCAACCACAGGACAACTACACACAACAACAACGGGTTGGGGGCAGGAAGCGGCACAATCGCTTGGCGGTACGCGGCGCCGTACGTACTGCGCCTCGCGCCAGGCCCTGCCATTACATTGGCAGCTTGAAGTCAATGCTCGCTACTGGGTCATGGCAGGCTGGGGCTGGCCACTGCCTCGGCGTCAGCGGGCGCCGACTCGGGGCCGCGCGAAGGAGGAGGCACGTTGACCGGCGGAGCGCCGGCATCCTTGGCCTTGGCGGCTCCCGGCTTCTTCATGCCCTTCATCATCCCCCACAGCTTCTCCCGCGTCTCGAGGCAAAACTCGCAGTCAGTCTCGGGCAGCAGTTTGTGCAGCGGGTTGGCTGGGTCGATCTCCACCCCATGGCTCGTCACTCCACCGTGGATGGTGACTCTGGGGTGGTCGCCGCCAGGGCTGCTGCTGCTGGTAGAGGAGGCGCTGGTGGGAGCAGCAGCCGCCTGCAGTAGTTGCATAGTGTGATGGCGTCGGGCGACAAGACCATGTGCATGCTGCCAAGCAGCAACAAAGTGCGTGGTCGACTCGCCTGCTGCCCCTGCAGCACGTCTTCGCCCTTGTTGGCCCGCTCCACCACCGCAGCAATCACTGCACCATCAAACAAAGCGTGCATTTATGAGGAAGAAGATGGCGCACCAACAGAAAATGCCTGCAGCGGGTTGCCGGTGGCGAGGGCCGGCATCTGGCGATAGGCCATAGGTCGGGGCAGTCTGCTACAGCACATGGTGGCCTGCAGTGTGTCACCTCCGATTGGGATGGCTGCCAGCAAGAATCTTTTTAGACTCGAGCTGCAGGGTCAGCAAGGGATGGGACATGAGGAGGTCGGTCCGCACCCGCCAGGGAAGCACACTCTGGCTCAACAGCCGATGGAAAGCAACGGAGCCAAAAAGCAACGCCGCATCAGCACCTCTTGTTTGCTGCTGTTTCCTCCCCCGATGCAGTGGACAGCATGCGCACTGCATTGCGACGGCACATGTCTGCAGCAGGGGCAAGGACGCTTGGCTGGGTGGTTGCGGCGGCGGAGTTGTAAGCCGGCAGAGGACTGGCGCCTGGCTGCCGCCCCAGGAGGAAGACCGACAGTGCGCGACTGCACCACGGGTGCTGACCCAACACCCTTCCCCGCCCCCAAAGCCCGCAGGTGGCTGCCAGCTCTCAAGACCGCACCTCCCACCGTCTGGAACCTGCTCCGGGCTAGGAAGCGCATGATGGAGGGCAAGAATTGGGACGTTAAATGACAAATAGGGTACGAAAAGCAAGCAAGGGGTTGAGACGGAGCCAAGAGGCTTCGTGTGCACGAGTGAACGAGGAAGGCTGGCTCCCCTAGGAGCGCTCCGCCTGGCCAGGAGAGTTGGTGGCTGCCAATATACTCAGAATGCGAGAGTTGTCCTGACAGACTCTAGTGCTGGGCGCCACATGGCGCCGCCGCTGTGCTTGTGCCTTGATCGATGGTGGATTTATTAGGGCTGCACCTCTCCATTGATGACAGGGACTCCTGCATATTACACATCCACCAGGCCTGTATATATTCTGCAATCCGCAGAATACGGTGGCTTGCTTGGCTTGCCGTCGGTCGAGAAGCGCTCGAAGGCTCGGTTGGGGTTGATGATGTGCACGTCGCATGCAATTATGTTGACCAGAATGGCCAGGTACACTCGGCCTGTCCCGAATTCCCTGATCACTACAGCCTGTCAGATACAACCCTACAGGTAATAACGCTCGCCTCCTTCCCGCCATGGAACCCGCTCGGCGGGTGCCTTGCTGGCGGCGTCCTGGGCGAGGCTTATCCCCGCGCTCCCTTTGGCGATCGGCGACATTGGGGTGCACGTTGGGTGGGCAGCATGGCCTGCAGAGGACTCCTGCCCGCCACCAGGCTCGGCTTGGCGCCGAGGCTGGCGCCGCTGTGTCGCCATCGATGGTCTGCGGCTGCCAGGGACCGGCGCCCTAGCAAAAGCAGAGTGCCCCTGCGCTGCCTGAGCCACGGGAACCACTCACACTCCCATGGCGACGGCCCCTCGCACGACTCCTGCTGCTCCACCTCGTCACTAGACATTGCCCCGCCTCAAGAAGTCGCCTCCTGCTGCGGACATGATCACCACGACCCAGACCTGGCCAACCCCGCCCACCGCCTGCTCAAGGCGGTGTACGACGCCACTCGTCTGACGGCTGTGGCGGCCTGGCTGGAGGCGAGCATGGCTGCCACGATGGCCAAAGTGGTGCTGTTCCTTCTGGCGGCGGCCACGGCGGGGTGGGCAGCCAGCGGCTGGGCACCCAGCGCCGCGGCAGCGCAGGCAGCCCAAGGCGTTGCTGCCACCGCCACCTTAGGCGTCTACCTCTTGGCGGGCCTGCCGGCTGCGGTGGACCTGTCGTACGACCTCACCGCGGGCCACGTTGATACCCATGTCCTAATGAATTTGGCCGTACTGGGCACACTGGTTACGGGGCATGCGCTGGAGGTAGGGAATGCCAGCTGATGTGCATGCACACAGCCCACAATTCTGCCCCTTTGTTGCAGCTCCTAGACTGCAATGCAGCACAGTTGCACGTGACGGCCACCTATCTCAGCAACATGCGATGCTTCTGAACGTCCCCCCCTCCTGCTGCTGCCCCATGCATGTGCCTACCTGCCCACCCTCTGTGCCTGTTGCTGCTCCCCTCCGTCCACCGCCTGCAGGGCGCGCTGCTGCTGGTGCTGTTCCAGACAAGCCACGTGGTGGAGCACCTGCTGACCGACCGGGCACAGGGCAACCTGGCAGCTCTGTACGACGCAATGCCCAAGGAGGCAGTGCTGGTGGGCATGGGGCCCGACGGCCGCCCCGACCTGGCATCGGCCCGCCGCGTGCTGGCGGCGGACGTCGCCGTGGGTGACTGCATGCTGGTGAAGCCAGGGGAGCAGGTGCGGCGGCTGGAATGGTGGGCAGGCAGGGGGCGTGATGCATGTACACCCTGCACTGACGCATCGTGCGAGTTTGTGTCCGGCTGGTGGGCTGCTGCTTCGGCACCCTGATGACGGGGAACACCCAGACCTGCTGCAGGTGCCACTTGATGGTGCGGTCATCCACGGCCGTGCCATGGTCAGCTCGGAGCACATCACTGGAGAGAGCCTGCCGGTGCTGCGCCGTGCCGGGGACGAGCTGGCGGCGGGCTCGCTGAACCGTGATGGTGTGCTGGTGCTGCGTGCGCTGCGGCCGGCCGAAGAGTCCACGCCTGCTCGCATCGCCAAGCTCACCCTGGATGCGCAGGTTGGTGGTTTGGGCTATCGTGCTTCATGCTTGCTTGTATTCTGTCTTTTTTCTGCAAATGGTCGCAAGATGCTGGTGGTTGTCCTTGGTGGCTGGACGTGGGGTGCTGCTGTTTCATTGTGCGGTGTGTTTTGATGTTCACAGGGCTGTTGCATGTCGCCAGAGCTGTGCAGCGACCCTGACCTGGGCTGTACATGGGTTGGGATCCTGCTGCAGGCCAAGCGCCCGCAGCTGCGCACGTGGCTGGACCAGTTTGGCGAGCTGTACAGCAAGGGCGTGATAGCCGCCTCGGTCGGCCTGCTGGCGGTACTGCTGCTGTCGGGCGTGCCGCTGCTGGGCGCCGCCGGTCAGGTATGTAGCGCGGCAGCACCAGTCGTGTGCTACCTCCTGCTGCTTGTCATTTTTGCTTGCCGGGCTGAAGCTGCCTTTGCCAATACGGTTACTGACTTCCTTCTCTCCATTGGTTTGCCTGGCTCTGTGCAGCGTGGCGCCTTCTATCGGGCCATGGGCCTGCTCACTGTGGCCTCCCCTTGCGCCCTGGTCATGGTACCGCTGGCATATGTGTCGGCCATCGCCGCCATCGCCTCCAGGCGAGCCTGCGCTGCGTGCCTAGCCGCCGAGCCCACTGGTCTGCAGCCAGCTGTACCAGCCTCACTGTCCCTCCTGCTTCCCCAGCTATCGTGTTCTTCAGCTGCTGACTGGGTGGGTGGCGCAAGCTTGACCCTCCTGCCTGTCAGCTGTGCATTGTTGCAGGGGCATCCTGGTGAAGGGCGGCCGAGTGTTGGATGCTCTAGCCCGCTGCAGCACTGTGGCGTTTGACAAGACAGGCACCCTCACGACTGGCTCCCTGTCCTGCACATCGATGCGCCCGCTGGGCTCTGGCGGGGCCAGCGGCAGCAGCGCCAGCGTCCTGGGCCTGGCGCCGCGCGAGGCGGCGGCAGCCAAGCGCACCGCCATCGGCGCGGCCGTGGCGCTGTCCCTGCGCAGCAGCCATCCCGTGTCGGATGCGGTGGTGCTTCACGGGCAGCAGGCAGGGCTGGATGGCAGCAGCGAGGAAGTGCTGGACTTTGAGCTGGTGCCTGGTGGCGGCGTGCAGGGGCTCGTGAGCAGCGGTGGCAGCTCGCGGCAGCGGCAGCAGCAGTACCTCGCGGCCTTTGGCTCTGCAGAGTTTGTGAGCAGCCGGCTGACGGCGGCGGAGCAGGCGGCAGTGGAGAAGCTGGTGGCGGGCCAGGGCACCTCTGGTGTGCTCTCTGTGCTTGTCCTGGAGCCGGCAGCCACGGGCAGCAGCTCCAACGGTCAGTCATCTGGCGGCGGCAGCGGCAATGGAGTTGCGAGCAGCAGCCGCGCCGCCAGCCGCAGCGTGTGGGTCATGAGCTTTGAGGACAGCGTGCGCAAGCAAAGTGCGGCGGCAGTCCGGGAGCTGCAGACGGTGAGCACGCGTCGCGGGCCAGGCAGCTTTCTGCTTCAAAGCGGCCTCCAGGCCGTCGTATGGAGTTTACCAGCAATTTGTGTCGAGTTGCCAGCAGCAGCTCATCATGAGCAGCTGTGCTAGGGCAGTCCATCTTGCATCCCCCAGCGTCACCCATGGCATCCGTGTACTGCCTGCAGGGCTCCTGGACGGGACGCGCCTCTCAGGCCAGCCGCATGGAAGTGACCATGCTGACGGGCGACAACGAGGCCAGCGCGCTGGGAATTGCCAAGAAGCTGGGCATACGCACGGTGTGGGCCGCTCTCAGGTGCGTGCAGGATGGTGATCGGCGTGGCTGGCTGTGCTCCTGCCTCCTCCGCCTCCTCCATTCTTCATTGTGTTGTAGACAGGACCAACACCTTGCTGCGGTGCCGTTTGCCTGTATCTGCCCGCAGCCCAGAGGAGAAGCTGGAGCATGTGCAGCAGCTCAGTGCTCGCAGCCATGTCGACTGCCGCGACGGCAGCGACGGCAGCTCGTCGGTGCCGCCTGTGGGCAAGTTGCGGAGCCGCAAGGGCAGCAGGGGCGGCGGCAGGGGCGGCAGCGGGCGTGGCAGCGGGTGCATCATGGTGGGGGATGGGATCAACGATGCCCCTGCGCTGGCGGCGGCTGATGTGGGCGTGGCCATTGCCTCCACCGCCACTGCGGCTGCCTCGCTGGCCGCGGACGTCATTGTGGTGAATGCCAGCGGAATCGCGGCCGTCCCGCTGCTGCTCAAAATTGCGCAGGCCACACAGGTGCGTTGCTCCTTTGCACTTGAACGCAAACAAGAGTGCAAAATAGCTCTTCAAAAACTTGGGTGCAGGCTGCACTCGCCAGCTTTTCACCTGGGCTCACCCCCCCCTTTGCCTCCCGCATGAACATGCAGACTGTCATCCGGCAGAACCTGGTGCTGGCTGTGGGCAGCATCCTAGCACTGTCCCTGCCCACCGTGCTGGGCTGGGTGCCCCTCTGGTTTGCCGTGATGCTGCACGAGGGGTCCACCCTCCTAGTCGCAGTGAACTCCCTACGGCTGCTGGGCTTCAGCGCAGGCCTGAACCGGGGGAGCAGCAGCTGGCGCCCAGCTGGGCAGCGGACACAGCAGCAGCAAGATGCTGAGGAGGGAGGAATAGCAGCGGGTGGTGGTCGCAGGGAGGACGAGGCGGCAGGCAGCTGGCAAGCGCCGGTCGCTGCTATGCCCGTGGCAGCCGTGCCGCCTGCCGCCTGAGTGCCTGCCATTTTGAGAAATCCATCCCTCATGCATGTAACCTTCCAGCTCCTTCTGTCTAATCTTCCGCTATTCGACGGGCATGTCCCTGTTTACAGTATGTAGCATATCACATTCTGATCCCCCACAAACAGCAGCGCAGTCAGAGTGATGTCTAGGGCCGAGAGCCACTGCTCGCCCTGTACATGACAATCGCTGCCTGCAGCGCCAGATGGGTGGTGAGCACTGAGGAGACAATGGCGTGCCTGTCCAACTTGGTCCAGAAATCTCCATGCGAGGAGAAGAGGAAGGCGCAGATTGTTGCAACCTGTCCAACGGCCAGCAGGATGTGGATGGCCGCATGGAAAACAATTGCAAAGATAAGAGCATGTGAGGATGCAGTCAATGATATTGGCACCAGCCAGGCGACCAGGCAAAGGCAGGGCCAAGGCAGGGCCAGGCGAGGCGAGGGCGCTGCGACGCTAGGCCTGCAGAGCGGGCACGGCGGCTGCGGTGGAAACTCGCACCAATCGACCAGTTGGAGGGCCTGTGTGTGGCACTACTCCAGCTTGCCTTCCAGCACCTGGTTCTTCTGCTGCTCCTCAGTCAACAGCACCGCCTGCTTCGCATGGTCGGCTAGCGCAGCTTCCAAGCGTGCGCCAAATCCTCAACTCGGTTGTAAAATATCTGGTTCTTCTGGGCAGTCGGGGATGTTGGCTAGGAGAGGAGGCAAAAACGCCACATCATGCCTCTTGAGTCCACCTTGATGCCACACCACCTGAAGTAACAGCTGTGGGCAGGGCCAGGCGCCACTCGCAACGTTCGCTGTACCAGCCTGCCCAGCCGCCAAAGCGGCCTGATTGGCTCAATCCCAATTGCTGGCCAGCGTTACTGCTTTCTTCTTGCGTTCATCGACGGCGGCGGGTCGGGTGGGCAGGTGGCGGGCAAGCGCTGGTTTCAGTAGTGGTGCACGCATCCCAGTAGCAGCCACCAAGCTTTCCATCACGATTAACGCCCGTACTGGCGGCCTGCTCATGGTTCCTATGGGCCGTGCCGCCAATGCACAATCAAGCCACGGCGGTGCAGACATGTCCCATCAACTCACCCAGCCGGGCGGGCCTCTGGCCCACGCGCGCCGCCACACGCTGGGCATCCTGAGGAGCAGGGCCGCCTTCTTCTGCTGCTGCTCCTCAGTGCGCCGCGCCGCGTCCTCTGCCTTCCGTTCGGCGGCTCTCTGGGCGACTGCTGCGAGTATTTCATTCCTTGAACATGTAATGTTCTGTTCTGAAGCAGGCATGACCTTTGGGAACAGGACGGAGACCTTGACGTAGGAGGAGGCCGGTGGTGCACCACAGGTGAGCTATGGGTAGAAGGGAGGCTTGAAGAAGAAGAAGAAGAGAATACGCGGGACGCGTGATTTGTACTTCGGCCGTACTGGGAGGAAACGGGGTGTCAAGCCCCTGGCTCCCGTGTGTAAAACGAGGGGGAACAAAGGTGCAGGTCAGCCTGGATCGATCAGCCGCCGCCTCTTGGCCGCCGCTGCCCGCCTCCCCGCCACCTGCGCCGGCGCCGCCGCTGCAGCTGCTGCTGGCGCCGCTGCCACCACCGCTGCCGCCGCCGTGGCCGCCCCCTGCCCCACCGCTCCCCCTCCCCACCCCACCCCCGTCACTGCGTTCGCTGCCGCTGCGCCCGCGCGGCGCTTCGCCTGCCTGGGGACACTGCCGTTTGCCGCGCCGAGTCGGCGGGCGATCCGCTGCGGCATCATTCTGCCTGCGCCGAGTGCGCCTGTCATCGCCGCGCTGCACGAACTTACCTCGTACCGCATCGACGAGTTGTACCGCCCACCTGTCTGTCAGCAGCAGAAGACCTTTGTCTAGGTATTTTGCATAATGGGGTGTGGTCAGAGCGCCCTGGAAACAGCGCAGGTATGTCACGAGTTCGCACTTGGCAGATCCGGCGCTGCCCTCTCGGTTTGGCAAGACTTGCGGGAGCGGGCTGAACAGTACCCCGACGGGGCGGTACCCAAGAGGCTGCAACAGCGGATCGACAAGGCGCGTGCTAAATTCTTCGCGGTTGCCCAAGAAGTAGACGACGCGCGTGCCGCTCGAGGTGCGCAGCCCTCCTGACGCTTTACCAACTGTTTGAGAGTACCTGCAGTCACCATCCGTGCACATGCTCTGCAGCGGAGGCAGAGCGTCAGGAGCTGGCGGTGTGTGCGGCGGCGGCAGCAGCGCCGCCCCTTCCGCGGTTGCCGCCGCCGCCAGTGCATGCACCTGCAGACACCTCTGAGCCACCAACGCCTTCAGGCCTCAGCCGTCGAAGAAGCTTACGACGGCGGACGAGCGCAGGTGGAGGCATTTTGCATTGTGAAGTTTTGCCGCTCTCAACGCCCTTGACCCACTTGCCAATCCTCCCTGCAGACAATGCCGATTTTGCCACCCCACTGCTTGCTCTTCGCGAGGATTGAAACGTGTGACTCTATTCCTGCTACGGGCACCTCTGCATGCCAGCGGGTATATCGTCAACTGTGCCGGTTGTTTTGTGCCGTCTTCTCGTGCCGGCGCTGCTAGGCAATGGGGGGTATAAATGCCAGCCAACATCATCACAGACGCTGGCAGCAGCAGCAGCAGCAGCAGCAGGCAGGGAGGGAGCCAGCCGCAGGAGGACGCATATGCAGCAGGTTGGGCTTGGGCGCCACTCTTCCGCCAGTGGCTGGTGTCTGGCGGCAGGAGGCCCAGCTCCTGCAGCCAGGGTGCGAGGCACAGAAGCGACCTGAGGGACAAGGTGTGCAGCACAGCGGTGTGCCCAGCATTGTGACTGGCTCATGCATTAGTGCGCCACGCACGCTGCCTCGCTCGCACCCCTGGCAGGGGGGCAGGGGAAGGTGAGGCTTGCATCGGCTGCCGTCGGTAGCATGGTGGAACCCACACTGCCTGCCAGAGGGCACCCTAACTTCCTCGGGGCATGCAGCAGGAGCCTCCTCAGCTGGCGTGCTAGGTGCTCTCAAGCTGCGGCTATGCGCTCAAGCTGCGACTCTGGACATCTAGCCTATGACGGGCCAGTTGACGATGGGCAGCCATGCCCCACGACAGCTGCTTAAAGCTGGCATCTTACATTCGTTTGAAGGGTGATTGCAAATAATGAAGCACATGCAGACATAAAATCATCAAATAAACGGCGCCGACGGTCGTGCAGCACCAATGCACGTGTGCATGCCACGGCAGGGAGACAGACAGAGGAATGTCCTTTGCAAGGCAAATTGTTTGGCGGCTGCGTGAGCCAAGGAGGAGGCAAACAACACCACATCATGCCGCTTGAGCAATCCATGGTACACCAGATGCCGCACCACCTGAAGTAACAGCTGTGGGCAGGGCCAGGCGCCACTTGCAACGTTCACTATGGCGCCTGTCCACCTTGCCGCCCAAATCGGCCCGATGGGCTCAATCCCCACTGGCAGAGCGTCACTGCTTCTTCTTGCGCTTGTCAACGTCTGCAGGCCGGGTGGGCAAGTGGCCGGCAAGTGCTGCGGTTTCAGTAGTTGTGTGCATGCATCACAGCAGCAGCCGACCAAGGCGTTTCATTTACGATTAAACGCCCGGCACACTGAGTATTGGCGGCCGACGTATGGTCCTATGAACCGTGGCGCCGATGCTGGCGCCAATGCTGCACGGCATTTCAATAAATCAAGCCCATGTGGGTCAGACAGGCACTCCCCTCTCATCAACTCACCCAGCCGGGCGGGCCTCTGGGCCACGCGTGCCGCCACACGCTGGGCCTCCTGCACCGCCGCTGCCAGGGCCGCCACCTTCTGCTGCTGCTCCTCAGCAGCGCGCCGCTCCGTGTCCTCTGCCTTCCATTCGGCGGCTCTCTGGGCGACTCTGCTGCGAGTATTTTATTCCTTCAACATGTGTTCTGTTCTGAAGCAGGCATGACCTTTTGGAACAGGACGGAGACCTTGCCGTGGGAGGAGGCCGGTGATGTGAGGTGCAGGTGAGCTATGGGTTCAGGCCTGAGGCCCCACGGAGAGCGCCTCGCAGCAAAGGATCCCGAGTCTCTCTGCTGGGCCAGCTAGACGCCAGGTGGCTTCTTCATACCTCAACACAGCCAATTCGACGGCACCAGCTGATCCTGCGGTCCTGTTTCATTGAACATGTGCTCTGTTCTCATGTGCTCTGTTCTGAAGCAGGCATGCGACCTTCAGGGAACATGACGGAGACCTTGCCCTCAGTGGAAGCCGGTGATGTGCGGTGCAGGCGAGCTATGGGTAGAAGGGGGAGACCGCTCTCGCGGTACCTCGAGCCTGTGGACCACCCACCCTCTTGACGCTCTGCTCCGGTGCAGGCGCGCAGCCCTGTTGGGCGCCCTCTTCGGCGCATTGACGGTGCTTGGCATTTCTCTGCCACATACAAGCTTGTGGGGCCGGCGGGCGATGTCCAGGCACACCAGGCCAGATTTCCCAAACAGTGCGGCAACCTTGGAGCTGGAGCAGCTGCTGTCCAGCATATCGATTGATGGCGCGGTGTTGGCCACCGTGGCGTCCAATGCCAGCATTTGGGCAGACGAAGCCGACCCCAGGAGTGGCCTGCTGCCGCTTTGGCTCGATAGCGCCCAGCGAGCCGCCATTTCAAACATGTTTGTGGCGGCCTACGACGAGGACACGCTACACTGGCTCCGGGCCCGCAACGTGCCTGCAATACTGAGGACTGCCACCAACTGCAGCAGGGCAGCTTCTTGGGTTGGCTGCGCGAAGGTTGATCTGCTGAGGGATGTTGCTACCCTGGCGTTCAACCTCTTGCTAACAGACAGTGATATACTCTGGCTCAAGAACCCATTTCCATTTTTGGCCGCGCCATACGACCTGCTGGCGACATCTGAAGGGTTTGGTGCCGACGCAAAGGACCCCTCCCCCGGGCCATACGGAGATATGCAGCACGCCCGCGTGGACGGCTGGCCGCCGATCCACTACCACAGAGTTCCTCATGTGAGACAGGCCTGGTTTGGGTGGTCTCGCCTTGGTGATGCAACCGACCTGACTGGACCTGCGCCTGCTCCCCTGTCCCTTCCTCCCCCCTTCTTCAGATAAACTTTGGGGTGACTTTTGCCAGGGGCTCGCTGCGCGTCGCTGAAACCTTCTCAGCGATGGCAGACATCCTGAGGACCCGGAGAAAGGTCTGGGACCAGTCGCTCTTCACCACACTTGCAGCCTTCCCAGCAAGCAGGAAACACCCCTGGGCTGGGCGGCACACCGTTGGCATCCTGGACGCAGAGCTCTTCCCAACGTCTTGCCAGCTGAAGTATGCCTTCACGTCGGCCGACCTCAAAAAGATGGAGCCGGTGCTGGTCCATTTCAACTGTTCTCCCGACAGAAGGAAGATAATGACGGCCGTTTGGACAGATGTCTTGGCTGACAGGCCCACCTACCTTGATCGCATCATTGATTGTACGAATTACACGACGTCTTGTAGACCAAAACGAACTCAATAACAACCATTCATGTCATCTTGATCCACCAGAACTCTCCCAATTGGTGAGAAAGCTTCCATGATTGTCAAGTTACACTAGTAAGGACGTCCACATAGGAGACAAATAGTAGTGGTAGTGAAGCGCTACACGAGTCAGCAGCAATAACCAGAGGGAATGGATGCAGGCAGAGAGGCGGGCGGCAGGGCATATTGTGCAGGCGCAGCCATCGCAATGGCTAGCGGCATGCCCCGCATCGCCGGGGTGTAGAGTACAATGTATGGTATCATGTCATGTCAAGTGGGAGGGCTCAAGCATAGGGGGCGTAACCAACTGCAGTGCACTCCACGGGGACTCTTGTGTGATGTGGGGGTATGGGTGTATTAGCGAGTCATTGCTGCGCACCGGCTCTGGATACGGAAACCAGGGTATTCATTTATCATCGCTCTTCCACCAGCAGTCAAGCCCGCAGCTGCTGGTTGGCCTAAACGTCAGGTGGTCGAGGCCGTGGCGTCGGCGGCCACCGCGCCGCCAGGCGCGTTGCAGCGCCTGTTGCCGGCCTCGTCAAACACGCGGTGCCAGGCGTGGAAGCCACTGAAGCAGAGGGCATGCGTGGGGGCAGGGCTGTCACCAACCAGTCGCGAGGCTGAGCGGCACGCGGGCAGACTGTCAGCCATATGTGATAGTGGCCCGCAAGGGGCCAAACTCCCAACAATTTTGCAGGTAAGGGACAGTGGGCAAGAGGAGGGCAGCAAGCCAGCTTGGCTGCTGGCTCACCCCTTGAGGCCCACGAGGCAGGTGTAGCCTGCGTCCTCCAGCGCCTCCAGCGCGTCGATGGAGTAGGTGCAGCCATCGGAGCAGCCCACCATGAGGGGTGTGTCCTTCAGGGAGAAGTGCCGCATGACCTGCAGCAAAGGCAGGGGCGGCGCAAGAGGGAGGTGGATGTGGCACAGTCACGCATGCACACGAGGGGCAATGAAGAAGTGGCAGCAACCCGCTGGAACGGGCTGTACTCGCTTCCCCTGCTGCATCAGTTCCTGCTGGAGCCAGAGCTGCCCCCACGCAGCGGGGCGCACCTGGTCCAGGAAGGCCTCGTTCCGGGTCTTGACCACCCGCCGCTCGCCGTCGCCATCCACCCACTCAGCATCCACCACAGGGATGTTGAAGGAGCCGGGGACGCAGCCCACCTCAGCCAGCTCCAGCGCAGGCCGCACGTCCAGGTACACATAGCCGCCACGCTCCACCAGGCACTGCAGCAAGCTCCCGACTGGGTTGGCTGCCAGAGCTGGTGGCAAGCAAGTCCAGGCGGCAGGAGCACAGGGAGAGCAGCAGCAGCAGCAGCATACAAGTAAGCGCCTGGTCACAGCAGTGTCTCACCCGAGCCTCCTCTGCATTGGCCACGGCCTTCTCAGGGAAGGCAGCCAGGGTGGTGGCAGCAAACCGGGGGTCGGTCCACTCCCGCACCATGGTGCGTGGAATCACTGCAAGTTGCAGGGAGAGAGGCTCTTTGGCATGCAAAGCTTATACAATAGTGGAATTGTCCTCGTCTTCTTGTGCCTAACCATGCAACAGGCCGGCAAAGCCGCCTTCAATCACTCACCATCAGTGTGCTGCTGCTCCCAGAAAGAATACTGCGGCGGCGCCGGTGCGGATGAAGAGGCAGCCTCGAGAGGCTCACCGTCACCTGCCTGCTCGCTGTTTCCAGTCAGCTGCTCGATGGCATCGCGCTGGCCGGCGCTGACAGCATGCTCAATGCTGACAATGTGGTTCAGTTGCAGCTGCTGCTCGGGCTCCTCCACCGCAGTAGCCTCTGGCTCCTCCAGAGCAGCGACCTCACGCGTCTCCACGGCTGCGGCCTCAGGCTCCTCCACAGCTGCGGCCTCTGGCTCCTCAAGAACAGCGGCCTCTGGCTCCTCCAGAGCAGCAGCCTCAGGCGTGTTCATAACAGCAGCCTCTGGCTTCTCCTCCGGCGCAGCGGCCTCCGGCGTGGCCAGGATGACGTGTCCATCCAGCACCAGCTCAGCCACATGGACTGGCAGGGCATCCTCCTCCTCAGCTGCCTCTGGCTCCTGCTCTGCCACCACCTCCTCCATGGCAGCAGCTTGCTCCTCTGCCTGTGCCTCTGCCTGTGCCTGCGCCATCTCCTCAGCCAGCGAGGCCACCTCCTCAGCCAGCGACGCCATATGGCCCGGCAGCGCCATCAGGCCGTTGGCCTCGCCCTCTGGCAGAGAGGTCTGCTTGGCCAGGGCATGCAGGCCGGTCTGGAGCAGCGCCACTGCAGCAGCAAGAGCGCCAGCAGGGGTGAGGCACGAGGACCGTCAACAGGTCGATTCTGGAAGATACGCGGGCCCTGCTGCTGTCCATCGATGGACCGACACACTGATGCTCTCTGGTGGACAAGACAAGCTGCCAGCAACGAATGCCACAAGCACACACACACACATGCCCGCCACTTGTGCCCGCCTCACCCTCAGCATCCGAGAAGGACAGGCCGGAGTGGGTCTCAGAGGAGGCGCTCATGGAGGCCGCCCTCAGCCAGCCCACCTCCTGCTCGCTGCGCAGCAGGTCAGACTTGGTCTGCTGCAGGTCGCGCTGCAGGAACAGAATGCAGGGAGAGCAGGCAGGGTGCATGTTGCCGCAGCAGGTAGGTGAGGCAAGCTGAAGGCGATGGTGTGCTGTTGCAAACAGGCGCCGCTGCTGCGAGCCCTTTTGCGCACCTGTAGGGCGGCCACACGGGTGCGCTCCTGGTGCAGCTCTTCAATGGCATCCAGGTAGGCGCTGTTCAGCTCCTCGCGCTGCACCGCCGCCGTCTCAAGCTGCGCCTGCAACACAACGGCAGCACAGGCCAGGTCGGTCAGCAGGTAGATGTGCGAGTGCAAGCAGCTGGGCCAGGACCAACAACAGCAGCAGCATTAAAAAACTGCATGGATGATGGCGGCAGCACTTTAGACCGTACCTCCAACACAGACACCTTCTCATGCTCCGCTTCAAGCTCATCAGCCAGCTGCTGGTAGAGCGAACCGGCATCGGCGCCCTGTGCGGGGCGCTCCGCGGCCGCCTGCTCCACCTGTTTCTGCAGCAGATGAATAGCGCAGCACGGCATTCATGCAACTAAGCCCTGTGCAGCAGCTAAGCACAACCCAGCCAGCAATGCCAAAGTTGAACCATTGGAAAAGTAAATCACTAGGAAAGCTTCACAAAGTGATGCCACCCACCATGAGAGTCTCCACACGGAACCGCTCTGTCTGCAGCTGTGCAGAGATGTCCTTATAATCGGCATCGGCAGCGGAGCGCAGCGCCGACGCCTGATCGGCGCGCGTCTGCAGAACATCAATCTGGTCCTGCGGCAGTGGAAGTTTGGGCAAGGTGGGGTGCGAGGGAGAGTGGAAGGCAAACGATAAAACGCTCAATACTGCGAGGGCAACCCGTCAACAAAGCGAGAAGCAGCACCACATGGCCATGGGTGAACAATGGGCCTGGCTTTTAAACCTGGCCACCCTAGCAAAGTCCCGCCAGGCCGAGTTGCCCAGGCAGCGCACCTGTGCGCTGCCAGACATCTCATCCAGCGCCTGCTGCAGCCGAGCCGCCTCCTGCCGGTAGTCATCTGCCTCCTGCAGTTAGAGACAGCCGTGTGGGCACGGGAAACTTAAGAGCTGTGGACCGGGGCAACACTACCCTCTTGAGACATGTTCCCAACCTCGGCTGCAGTAAGCCGCGGACCCAAGTTTGCTGTCCCACTTCCCTCATGCCCCATCCCCCTTCACCTTGCGCAGCTCCTGCGCGCGCCGCTCCTGGGCGTCCATAACGATGCGCTGCAGCGACAGCTCCCGTTCCGCGGCGAGTGCCGCCTCGGCCCGCACCCTCTCGATCGCGCGCTCCGTCTCTGCCGCCTGCCGCGCCTCGATGATGACACGAGCCAGGCGGCGCTCCATCTCCGCCTGCCGGTGGGCCTCCTGCTCCGCCTCCAGCGTGCGCTTGGTCTGCAGCGCAAACTGGCAGGGTCAGATGAGCAGGAGGCGCGCGAAGCAAGCACATGGCCACCAGCAACAACATGCGTCCCCTGTGTCAGTGTTACGACACACGTGCCCAGCATGACCCTGCCCCCCAAGACCCTCCCTTCACAACCCTGCACCACACGACACCCACCTCCCACAGCCTGTACTGGGTGATGCCCTGCATGCGCTTGAGCTCCTGCGCGCGCGCCAGCGCCACCACCTTCTCAGCACGCTCCTGCTTGAGCGCCTCGCGGGCTGCCACACGTTCCGCCTCCAAGGCTTCCTGCATCTCCACTCGCGCCACCTGCTCCTCACGCAGCGTGGCCACCGTGGTTGGGATCTCCTACGGGAAAGGACAAGGACTCGCAGCAGGTTGGGGTCTGGTTGTCCCACACCAGCGTCAACCATGCCTGCCTCAGCAAGTACATTGGCCTGCCTCTGCCCTCAAGACAGCCACTATATGCATGTATGCGGCAGCACGCGCGACCACAAGCCACCACCTACTTGCTCCACAGCATCGGCCAGCCGCACCGCCACGCGCTCCTCCACTTCCTCAGCCAGCGCCCCCTGCAGCCGCTGCTGAACCTGCACTTCCACATTCACCAGCGCACGCTTCTTCTCCGCCTCAATCTGCAGCCAAAGCGATAGGCAACATGCAAATGGGCATTCAGCGTCAGCAGTGCTCGCAAGCCAGGCACCGGCGGGGGCGGGGGCTGAGCAGGAGAGCGCATGAAAGGGCGGGGCCAGGACGCAGGAGGCACCACCAGCAGGCCACTCCATAGGCCGCCCCACCTGGCCGACCGAGGCACCCAGGTAGGTGTGCAGGCTGGCGGCCAGGCCCATGCAGCTGGTGGCCACCATGCCCAGCTCCTTCCACTTGGCCGCCTGCACGTTCTCCACTGTCTCCTGGCTGGCATACAGCAGCTTCTGGGTGGCAGCCAGCTCGAAGCGCATGCGCCGCAGCTCGTCAGTCTTGTCCCGCAGCTCGCGCAGCAGCACCTTGACAGATGTGGGGTACTCGCCCAGTGCCTTGGGCGCACATAGCTGATCGCAGAGCGCAGACAGGTCGGCGGCCGCTGCGTCGGCGACCTCTGCAAGCACCACGGCACGGTGCCGCGCAGAGGCCGGCTGCGCCAGCTCGTTTGGCCGGCGCGCGGCGGGCGCCGCGGGCAGCGGCTGGGCCAAGGCTTCGGAAGCCGGCAGGGCCTGCAGTGGACCACCAGAGCAGAGGTGGTGACGCCCGGTCAGTTTGTGGGGAAAGGGTGGCCGGAGGGTGGTGTGTGGGGGCAGGGGTCGCAGGCGGGCGAGCTTGTGGCCGCGGTGCGGGTTCGCGTCGGCGCGGCAGGTACCCCTGTTTGGCCCGATACTGCCTCCGCAGGTCCTGCGGGCGCCACCCCTGGCTGCGGCAAGAGCACCCGCGGCGGGTTCAGCAGGAATGCACGCCCCCGACACGGAGGCCAAGATTGAAAGCCCTTGGCCGCACCATGCTTGCGGCCGAGAGGGCGCCCAGCAGAGCGCTCCAGCGCAGCGGGGAGTCCTCATGTTGGTTGGCCTGAGCGGCAACCCTGGCCACGCGAGCCCGGCCCCTCGACAGCCTGACTGCCGCCCTGCCTCTTGCCGCAGGGGCACAGGATGGCAGGGAGAGAGCCAGCATCGCTAAAACTGACGAGTGCGCGGGTGCAGCCGCGGTGTTCTGCAGATGTTTGAATTTCAGATGTAGCAGGCGTCGTGCGAGCTGGCGCGGCAGCCAAACCTGTTGGACTAATAACACCCGCTGAACAGCCCCACACGTAATTTGTAACGGACCGCCTGAATTGTAGCAGCATTGGAAAGCCTCAAGATCAAAGGCAGCCGCATCTCTGGCCTCGCACGGCAGCCGTCACCCGTCTCGGCACAGAGCCTATTGCTTCACATGCTTTAGCTCGCAGGCTGGAAATCTTCAGCTGATCACGCAATGAGGGATGAGAGGAGTGATTTGATATATGAATGCCATGCATGCAAGACTTGGATGCGGCTCACGCGACGTCTGCAGCACCGTCGATGGCACCGACGGCGCTGCCTCCTGGACCCAGTGTGTGCTCGCAGGCCTGGATTGTGTCGGATGCGGCTGACAACGATGAGTCATGATAATATGCACACGCATAGCCTCCCAACCGGCCGCCTTTGTCCCATGGCCCATCCATCAGCAGCCGCCAGCGTGTCGCCGGACGGCATGCGGATGACACGCCCAGGAGAGCAGCAGCAGACACCAAAGATACCCCTGCTCGTGGGCTACTCTCACTCTATATATAGAAGCCGAAGGCATGGCGCCCCACGCCGCCATCGCGGGAGGGGCAGGGGCCACGCTGAGCTTGGAGCAGGTTGCGGCAGTGGCCAATGGGGCCGAGGTGCAGCTGGATGCTGCAGCTAGCGGGAGGGTCAAGAAGGACTCGCCCCCACCCAAGTCCTTCACGGCAGAGCCCGCGCCAGCAGCCGCTCCCAGCAGTGCGAGCAGCCTGGACCGCGAGCAAACGAGGGCGGCCATGTTTTACAAGCTGCTGAGCCTGATCAACGGCAGGAGTGGGGTCCGCCTAGCGGTGGTGCAGGCGCTGGCGGTGCTGCTCAACAGCGGCGTCACGCCTGCGCTGCCGGCGGCCCACAGCGATGCCGAGTGCCTGCGTGCCCTGGCCGCCTTTCTGCAAGGCGTGGGCACCGCCGTGACGGCAGACGGCGTGCAGCAGCCGGCGGCCGAGGCGTTGGCAGCGGCGGGCATTGAGGCGCCGGGACTGAGCACCGCAGAGCGTGCCGTGGTGGCCGATGCGCAGAGCGCATCGGCAGGCACCGCCGCCATCTGCTGCCAGGCTGGCAAGCTGCTGCTGGCCACCGCCAATGCGGTGGTGGCGCTGTCGGCAGAGGCGCTGCAGGTTGACGTGAGTGCTGCACTGCCTCCCCCTTCATTTCACTGCTCAAGCTGGTGCCCCGTGCGACCAGCCAAGAACTACAGCTGACCCTGACCTGCCTGCGTCAGGCATATGATCTGCGGCGGCTGGCCTGCTGCAGGTCAAGGCGTTAGATGCAGATGTGGTGGAGGCGCAGCCGCACAAGGGCGCCCTTGAGGTGGCTGACGAGATGCGCGGGCTGCTGGATGGCTCGCGGCAAGTCAATGTCAAGAAGACGGGCGCAGGCAGCCTGCCGGCCATCAACAACACGGTGCAGGTGGGCGGCCTGGCTGTGGGTGGGCCGGCGAGCCATCTGCCCTGACCTTGAGCTTGCTGGTTGTGTCAATCCTGTAGCTGCATGCCGGCATTCAGGGGATGAAATTCCTGCCGGCGCTATCCGCAGGTGCACGGCGCACTGTTGGAGGCGCTGATCGCGGCAGCGGCGGCTGCCAAGGCTGAGCTGGCATCAGTGGCGCTGCCGGCGGCCCGGGAGGGTCATCCGCAGCAGGCAGGCTCACCGGCACTGGCCAGTAGCCTGCTGCTGCTGACCACCATGCTGCTCAAGGCAGCAGGCCTCAGCCTGAAGCGAAGCGCTGCCATCGGCAGCAGGCTACCTTTGGTGGCGGCAGCGGCGCCGCCTGGCGGTGACGGCGCCGCTGCAGCGGATGTTCCTGCCACAGCAGCATCTCTGCAGCAGTTTGTGGCGGCCGCAGCGGCAGCGGTGGATGCGGGGAAGCAGCAGGTAGCAGCCACCGCCGGTCAGCTGGCGCTTGCCGGGGCGGACGAGGCGGTTTCCAGCCTGGCAGTGGCTCAGGCAGCATATGCAGCTTTCAAATCGCTGCGGCAAGCGCTGGCGGTGGAGGCGCTGACCGCAGCCACCAGCCTACGGTTGCAGGAGGGCAAGCCCGCAGAAGGCGGGGTGGCTCCAGCTGCTGCTGCTGACGCGGCAGCGGCAGCAGACAGTGGCGCGGCAGATGGCAGCAAGAAGAAAGACAAGAAGAAGGCCAAGGGGCCACAGGGCATGCTGCTAGGCCAGGGCACAGCATTGCTACGGGTATACGTTGAGAATGCTGCTGCCACCGCTGGCAGCAGCAGCAGCAGTGGCGAGGATGGGGTGGAGAGCTGCATGGCGGCACTCAGCCTGGCGAGCGCTGATGTGGCCACAGAGCTGCAGCGCGGCTTGGCGGCGGTCAACGCAGCACTTGATCCCCAGGGCCATGCGCTGGCGCAGCACCTGGCGGCCCTGCGAGCTGTGATCGAGGCAAACCAGGTGGGTAATAGTGGTGCATTGTCAGGGTGGGGCCATCATGCAGCGGTGACAGCTTGGGGGTGCTTTTGCATACACATCGTGCATACTGCATGCATTCTGTGCCCGCGCTGGCTCTTTTCCCATGGAGGGCGCCCCTTGCCCCTCGGTGGATGTAACCCAGCGCCAGAGCAACCTGCGATCTACCATAAGCCCATGCCGCCTGCTCCCACCGGCAGCGGGTTATACGCGGCCGCCACAGCACTTGTCTAGCTAGCCCCCTCCGCACATCATTGCTGCCTCTGTGTCTTTGCCGCTGCACCTTGCCTTGAGCGGAAGGCAGCTCACTTGCCGCTGCGCCCTGCAACACCCGCCTGCGGCGCTGCCGCAGGCACGCCGCAAGCCCAAGATTGCCAAGGGCGCTCGTGACTTCATGCCAGACCAGATGGCCATCCGGGAGGTGGCATTTGGAAAGATCACCGGCGTGTTCAAGCGCCACGGCGCCGTCTCAATCGACACGCCCGTGTTTGAGCTCAGGTAGGGGCAGTATCGTCAGGTTGCTTAGCAGTAACATTGTTTGCGGGAGTGTGGAGTTCCTGCGTGCCTAGTGCACCGCCAAACCCCACACACTGCCCTGGGCTCGTGTCTGCGAGCAGGGAGACGCTGATGGGCAAGTATGGCGAGGACTCCAAGCTCATCTATGACCTGGCAGACCAGGTGCGTGTGCTGAGCTGGCACTGGGGCGGATGAGGCATTCTTTTCATGCGCCCTGGCGCTTGCGCGCTAGAGGCCGCTGCTGTGATGTCCTGCCGAGCTGACCCCTGCCTCTTCCCCACCTGCTTCGTCAGGGCGGCGAGATCCTGAGCCTGCGGTACGACCTCACCGTTCCCTTTGCGCGCTTTGTGGCGCTGCACGGCGTGGGCAACATCAAGCGCTACCACATCGCCAAGGTGTGTGCCAGTTTGTTTGTGTTCATGCCGTTGGGGACGGCCGCCAACAGGGCGCGTCCACCCTTCATAAGCACACCACACCCAAGCTTGGCTCTTCCTCCGCAACCGCTGCTGCTGCTGGCGGTTTTCAAATATTTTCCTTTTGTTCGCTGTTCCACACATCTTCCTTGCCACTGTACCCATGCGTACTGCAGGTGTACCGCCGTGACCAGCCCCAGATGGCTCGCGGCCGATTCCGCGAGTTCTTCCAGTGCGATTTTGACATCGCTGGCAGCTACCCATCCATGGTTCCTGACGCTGAGGTTCTCAAGGTGAAATGCTGGGTGGTGTGGTCCGTCATATGCGTTTATCAACAGGGAGGCCAGCAGCCACCAGCGGCGCCCGCGGCTCAGAACGGCTGCGGAGGTGACGTCATTTCCATGTTGTGCTGCGGCTACCTACTGCGCGTTCTTCCCCTCCTAACTTTCCACCTGGCGTTGATGGTACCACAGGTGCTGGTGGAGATCCTTGATGACCTGCAGCTGGGCGAGTACGAGGTGAGGAGGCTCTGCAGCCGGAACCACACACAATTTCTTTGCAGGTTGTTGTTGCATACCTTTCTCTGGATTTTTAAGGAGCCTGCCACCCCCCTGGCTGCAGATCAAGCTCAACCACCGGCTGCTGCTGGACTCGATGCTGGACATTGCGGGGGTGCCGCCGCAAAAGTTCCGGCCCATCTGCTCTGCCATCGACAAGCTGGACAAAGAACCGTGGGAGGTGGTGCGGGCAGGTGGGCAACAGCTCGCTGCTGCACTTCTATCCTGGTGGCAGGCACATCAGCTCATAAAATGGCCTTCCCGCCCTGGCTAAATCCGCTTTATATGCCTCGCGTTCTGCAGAGATGGTGGAGGAGAAGGGGCTTCCGGGGCATGTGGCGGACCGCATTGGCGAATTTGTGGTCCTGCGGGGCCAGCCGCTGGAGCTGCTGGAGAAGCTCACAGAAGCAGGTAGACTGGTAGCGTAGCTTAGGCAAATTCACTACGTTGGCGATGCTACTCCTGGTTGAAACACGAGGCTTTGCTCGTCAAAAGAGAGACACATGAGAGAATCGCTTGCACCATGCCCCTTTTCTGCACTGTTTGCAGCCCATCCACTGGCGCAGCACCCCGACTCGGCAGTGGCGTTGGAGGAGCTGCGCACTATGTTTGGCTTCCTGCAGTCCATGGGCGCCCTGGGGCCCATCGTGTTTGACCTCAGGTGGGGCTGCCAGCCTATGGGACATTGGACTTGCTGAGTCGAGGGAAGCGGAAAAGGCAGTGTTGAAATTTGATGGGGTTGGGCTTGGAAGCGGAAGCAGTTTGATTGTGCCAAGCTGGTGCAGAGTGTTTAACATTTGGGCTGTTGACTGAATGTCTTCCTGTCTGTCGTGCCACAGCTTGGCCCGTGGCCTGGATTACTACACCGGCGTGATTTACGAGGCTGTGCTCAAGGGGGGAAACGTGGGATCCATTGCCGCCGGCGGCAGGTGCGCGCTTCAACCGCCAGCGTGCTGCGTATACCGCGCTAGCAGCTGGCTGCTCTCTTCCTGCATCACCAGGTCCCCTTAAGCCCCTTGCTCGATGACCCCAGTTTCTATGACACCTGAGCCTCCTTGGCACTGCCTGTCATTTCTACCTCATCATTCCCGTTTCTATGACACCTGAGCCTCCTTGGCACTGCCTGTCATTTCTACCTCATCATTCCCGTTTTTGCCGCCCTGCAGGTACGACAAGCTGGTTGGCATGTTTAGTGGCAAAGATGTGCCGGCCGTGGGCGTGTCCATTGGCATCGAGCGCGTGTTTGCCATCATGGAGGCGCAGCTGCGCCTGCAGGCGGAGCAGGTGCGCGGGTGGTTGCCTATGGGCACCATCTGCACACACGCTTCTGTGCCACCACAAGCGCCTAGATCATCCTTTCCTGCTTCACACACAGCCCTGACCTCTGAGACTGCGCGCTGTCCACCTGAGCAGGCGGGCGGCACAATCCGCGAGACGGAGACCGAGGCGCTGGTGGCTTCCATCGGCGGCGGCATGCAGCCGCGGCGCATGCGCATCTGCTCCGAGCTGTGGGCCTCGGGCATCAAGGCCGAGTTTGGTTACAAGGCCAACCCCAAAATGCCCGACCAGGTGCGGGTGCCGGGTATGCTGGGTGCGTTCTTTTCGAGGACGAAACTTGTTGGTGGTGTGGGGACGGCATGGCCCATGTTTGGTCTTCCATCTGTACTTGTGTCCCAGGCTGCTTGCTGGACTTCTGCCTGCCTGACCAAGCGTTCAGCTGCCTCTCTCTCATCCCTCCTGCTGCAGCTGGGCTATGCGCTGAAGCAGGGCATCCCCTACATGGTGCTGTTTGGGGAGAGCGAGGTGGAGGCAGGGGTGGTCAAGATCAAGGATCTGGATGCCGGGACCGAGGAGGTAGTTGCCGAGGTGGGTCGAGGTCTAGACGGTTCACCATCTGATGCGGCTCGGGCGTCTATGGCTGTGTTTGACCTTCTGGGAGGAACGGCAGGGAACTGCTGGACTGCCTCGTGGTTACTGCATTCGCATTACCACCATCATTGCTGCCCACTCTGCCTGCAGGGCCAGCTGGTGGCACGGATGCAGGAGCTGGTGAAGACCAAGGCGGGCCGCCGCGTTGTGTACCAGCAGAAGGAGGAGGCGGCCAGCAGCTAGCTGAGCATGGCGTCAATCAGGATCTACTCCAGCTGGATATGGACTGTGCAAGCATTTGTATGCAGCAGGCACAGCCTGGGCATGAAGGGATGCCCTGCCCCCCTGTGCCCGCTGCGCCAAGGCGGGTTTGGCATCGCCACCATCCTGCACCTCACCTCCTGCCACCTTGCCAACCTCACTGCATTTGTAACACTGCCGCTGGGTCAAGCATACATGGCCTGTATCAGGAATGGGGTTTCAGGCTCAGGTGTACCGCGTGCGCCTGCAGTACAACTTCTCCCAAAGGGGGCTGTTGCAGCAGGCTTAAGAGAGAGTATAATTGCCCGAGCTTCGTTTGATCAATTGAAGCATCTTGCTGGGGCTTGCGACACGGATCAGTTTTTATACAAGGCGGGCACAGAAATGGAGAGCGACTGCATTCCCGAGAGCAGCGCACGGGGCAGCTCGGGACAGCACAGCAGCAGCAGCAGTGATGCTGGCAGAGCGACCCAGGACGCAGCGGTCTCAGCGGCCCGCGGCGGCGGCGTTCCAGCCGCGTGGCCCCGCATGCGGCGCACAGACCTGATGTGCTCGCTATTTGCCCTCTGCTACCAGCTGATAGGAGCATACTGTAGGATGCCTGCCCCCTCGTTGCCGTCGATGCAACATCACATCCAGCAGGCAACCATTTCGGCCTTTCACGTGGCGGCCTTCCTGTTGGTCACTTGGGCACCCCACTCTGCTTGGATCAAGTACAGGCGAGGCAAAGTTCTCCTCGCACGTACATGTGTGTGTCAGGGCGGAGCGGGTATTCTAACTGTTCCATTGCATGGGTGATCATTCCCTATGCAACAGGGTTCCAGTGATCGGGGCCTTTCGAGTGGCGGCGGCAGCGCTTCCGACACGGAAGTCACCTCAAGTAGGTGTATGGATGACTAGGGGCCAGTTAGGAAAAGCAGGGATGAGTGTGCACCCAGCATTAACCCGCCTTTTTTCTCAACTGCCACTTACAGTCGGGACCAACAGTGCTGCTGCACCGGCCAGCGAGCCCTGGGTGGCTAGGAGGCATGATGGATGCTGTGCGCTTTATCATTGGTACAACACATCCTGCCCTTCCTCCTTGTTGGTGCACTCTTTTGCTCACCTGGGACCCTTGCCGCCATGTGTGCAGGCACACGTCTGCTCGTGCCGTCACTCGTGGGCATCGTGCTGCAGCAGCCACCCCTGGCAGTGCTGCTGCAGCAGGCGGTGATTGCTGCCATCACCGCCAACCCTTGGGGATATTGCCGCACTCCTCTGTTGGCCGATCCCTTGACCCAGCTTCGGCTGACACGCATATGGCTTGCACTGGACGCCGCTCTGCCCGTTCCGTTTGCTATCGCGCCTGCCACCCATGGCAGTGTAGATGATCCATCTGGTGAGTAGCCGGCATGCACCTCGATGCTTGCTGCGGCAAGCGCCAGAGGGGTGTGGGTTCACAATGCAATGCCTCGGCGGGGTACTGTTAGGAGGCTGAGCCCACTCAGCGCGAATGGCACTGTGCGTTTGCAGCCCGATGCCCCTCCATTCTCAACCTGTGTTACGTCGTTCTGCATGTGATTCTACCAGTGATGGCAAGCCTTGCTGCATCTGCCACCGCACCTGGTCAACAGCAGCAGCAGGACCACCAGCAGCAGCAGCCGCAACCATTACCAAACCAGCCATGGCGGCTTGGCATGGCTGGCCACGCAGCCTGGCTGGTGCAGCGGGCGGGCAGGGCCTGGGCACAAGCCGACAAGGTCTTCACAGGAGTGTGCCGTGGCGGCGACGGCGATTCCCTCCAGTATTCTGTGCTGTGGTACTTGCTGCTGGGCAACATTTGGTTGCTGGCTAAGGCCGCCGCATTCTGCTACCTACCCGCCCTTGAATGAGGAGCCGTTGGCCTCAGCTGTTCCATCCATACTTGAAACAGCTTTCCTGTGATCGGTGTGCAATATATGAACAGTGGCAGCAGATGGAAAGAGCAATAGATGTCATACTTTCAATTTTCAGCAAAAACAACAGCAGCGAAAAGCAAGGTAAACTTCCGAATTATTGCTTCCATTGAAGCAGCTCCAGCGCCTGTTGGTGTGCCCGTGCATCCCCTGCCGCCACCACCTCGCCGCTGCAGGCCGCAACGTCACCCTGCAAGCATGGCAGCAAACCGCAGGGTGAGTTGAGCATGCCGAAGCAGGCCGTCTCACCATAGGTACGACAAGTTGCAATGCATTCAAACACCCACACCACGCACCTGGCTGCCCACCTGCCAGCGCAGCGGCTGGCCTCGCCAGTCGGTCACCACACCGCCGGCGCCCTGTATGACCGGTACCAGCGCCATGTAATCGTACGGCTTCAGGTCGGCTTCCACCACCAGGTCGCAGTATCCCGCCGCCAGCAGCCCGTACGCGTAGCAGTCACAGCCGTACATCGGTATCCGAACTGCGGTGCAACACCAACACAGTCCCGTGCAGGCAGGGCAAAGGAGTGAGGAGAGCGGGCCGCAGCACACCGTGCTGCAAGGGACATAGAGCAAGCCTAGCTTCGGCAGCCGTGTGCTGCTCGAGAACAGGGCAGGCCCTCCCATTCGCTCAAAACGGCTGCCGCTGAGCGCCCCTCTCGCCAACCGCGCTCACCAGCATCCCGCACGCGGTTAAATGCCGCCTCTGTGTCCCCGGCAAACATATGGGGGGTGGTGGCATAGAGGTATGCATCGCCGACGGCGCCGCACTCTCGCGTGGAGATGGGCTGGCCGTTGAGCGTGGAGCGCTGCCCTGCCACACCCACCCACCGCTCCTTGAGAATGGGCTGGTCAATGATACCCAGCACTGGCTCGCCGCGATGCAGCAGCGCGATGAGCGTCCCAAACAGCGGCTTGCCTGCGGCGGGCATGTGGCGGCAGGGCAGTGAGATGATGGGTGTGGGGACTTGGGAGGCGGGGTGTGTGGTGGGTGGTGGGTAC